TTCACGAGATTGTGTATTATTATGGTCAATATTATATAAAAAGCGCAAAAAATATAAATGCATAACAGCAAAACGTAGCATTGTTTATAATTGTCTGGCAGCGGCGCCGCCATCTTGTGGTACTTTAAGCGGTGATGTCATGAGGTAGGTTGGTTAGCTGCCAGGTTAATACATTGGTAATACCAGCTATACTTCACAACTGTACAAAAAAAAAAAAAGAAGAAATTTGGTCAAAGGGAAATCCAGTGTCAAAATCCCATCGTTTATGCTTTCGAGCTTATTCGCTGTGTAAATGGAGAAGTGGGAAGAAGAGACGGAATCACTCTTGACAAAAAATGATAAATAATCTTGTAAATTACCTTAGTTTTGTGGATGTTTATTTCCATTTTAAGTGGAAATTAAACTGAAAAAACATACGAGAGGAACTAAGGCTACATTTTCATGGCAGTCAGAACGGCCTAATTCTGATCTTTTCACCTCTAAAAACATTTAAACTGTGCTACCTGCATATGTAGTAATTAACTGCATTTGTATATGATTGTTTTTAAAGCAAAGCTGGCTCTAACTACTCATTCATACACACTTCTCTCTGGCACACAGCAGTCACTATCCCATAAAAACAAATTGTAAATAGTTCTGCTCTCCTTTTTTCTTATCTTTATTTCCTTTTGTTATGATGTGATCACATTATTGTCGGCTCCCATCGTACAACAACTTATAATCCCACACAGATACCGACATCTGTTATTACTTCCGTAAACAGAACGCCGCTGTGTGACATCTACCCCGTCCTTCTGCACATGCAGGTCATGTTGCAGCTGTGAAACTTTCAAACTGGAGTCTGATTATGAGTACATTTACTTAGCTTACTAGTATGAACCACAATGACAAAAAAATATTGGATTCTATTAAAAAATAAACAAAAAAATGTAAGACCTGATGTTTGAATTTCGCTTAAGAAAACCTGTCCAAACACAGAGCAATAATGAATAAAAAAATAAGACACAACCAAATAATTACACTAAGAAATAAGCAAGAGATTTGTAACTTTAACAATTTTTATTGTGCATATTTGATCCAATTTGAATCCAGCACTGGATTAAAATGAAATCTATTTCAGATGAAGGTTGCAATATTCCATATCGGAATCGGTTGCTGGGTATCTGATTCATTAAAATTACAAAGGAGTAATTATACTCAAGCCTGGGGAGATCGGGTTTTAAATCCCTAAAATACATAACATGAGAGTCTTTGAAGAGAGTTTTCCTCTCCTGACTTCATCAGATAATCAAAGCAGATTTTCACAGTTTGGCTCATTTATTTAAAATTTCTTTAAAGATTTGCTTGTATATATTAATGTTTTTAAATGTAAGCATGCTAAAAAGACATGAGTGTTTCGGAAAGTGGAGACTCCATGTAATAAAATTATTACTTATATAGTGAGGTTAATCTTCCCATTTATTCTTGATGACAAAGGTTTAGGGTATGAGATTATCCAAATAAACAACAATAAATATTTACTATCTCTCATTTGGGTTTCACCAAAAAAAACACAACCTCACTAATACGGGTCATTTTCTTATTTCTATGCTCTAATCTGACTAAATTTTGTTTTCTGTTGTAAACATTACTTTTAAATGACTCATACAGGTGTTGTGAGCAGAAATGCTTGATGTAGACATAGTTATCCCCACAATTTTTTCCTGTTTTTTTTTTCCAAAGATGGACCCAAAATAATTACTTTTGTCTTTATGTGAAAATAGACTCACACATGCCAAAAATGACCCATTATTCATCCTCCACTCACTTCACTGTAATGAGTTATTGCATTGAAGCTGCCCTTTATAAATTACTGTCACTCAACCCTCATGTGCAACAGTGTGGTATGTAAGAAAGAAGACAGACAGAAGCTGTAGCTCTAAGAGTAAATGGAGAAAGTTAGACGAGCAGCCAGAGAGACAGACAGGTTGAAGGCAGCTGGGAGGCTAGGTGGGACCGCTGTGTTCTTCCGGAATGCTCTGCTTTTTCCAGATCACTTCTCTTTTGACCTAAACTAAGCGCTGTGCTTTGATGAACAGCTGCCTGCAGGCTTTCCTGCCTTCTTCCGTGTGTGCCTGCAGTCCCTTGGGCCACCTCATAGTTTTGCAATATTGGTTTAGAGAAAGTAAAGCTTAGAGTTAATTCAATAAATTGCTGCTAAGCACCCTTGCTCTGTGTGTCAGACTGCACAGCATGTTCCTGTTTCCATTGTATCCGTACCACTAAAGAGAAATGATAAGCCCCAGATGGGAGCAGGATGTGTATGCTGAGTGCATGGTGGCGGTAGTGCTATCATGGTGAGCGTCTGTTTTGTAGCCAGAAACCGGAGATCCTTCCTGCATGCAGCTTATCAACTACAATGACATCTGAAATAAAACCCTGACTTATTACAAAATGTAATTTTCCCTTAGCATCAATAAAGTACTTTTTGCCATGAAAGGAATTCAACTTCTAGAGAATTTATCTATAACTTATTAATTCGTACAAAAACAAAACAAAACACTGTTGGTGTGTTTCTGTAAACGACAGTTGGTACAGAACTGAAGACCCACGTGTGTTTGCATACTGGGCCGTGTCACTGAGGGCATCAACTGCGTGACAAGGGTACTGATGAGAGAGCTGTTAAAGCTGCTCCTCTATGTCTCAATGAACTGTCAACAGCATTTAGTTACAGGAGATGTTGACTTGCTCTTCGTCAAACAGTGTGAACAAAAGCAGTTGTTCCATTATTCTTTGGACTGCGCACCGCCTGCTCTGATCATTCGTTCCTAAAAGGCATCAAGATGTGTCTAGTTTTGTTTTCAAACACTTTATAAGATGCAAGACACTTTACACTTTAACTTGAAGAATACTGAGAAAGAGCTTTTTGCTTGTGGAAAGAGAAAACATGAAAAAACAACTAATATTTTACTTCCCTTGGTTCTTTATTTCTTATTTAATCATGCTCAAATCAGCCCGCTTGGCCCAGCTAGGAGGAAAGAAAGGAAAGCCATGCAATTTATTTCTCAACAATTCTTCTGGAGGTTATGATGGTGCTTCATGTCCCCCACTGTGGCTTCTTCTGTAGAAACTGGCTCCTGTGTTGCTCTGTAGTTGGCCTCTGTTGTGGGGAGTGTTAATTAATCCAGTTGGAAAGGAAAGACTGTTGTTCTAAACCAAGTGCATGCCCACTGGCATTTTATCAGCTTGTCATGCTAATGAAATATGGTGCCTAGTAGGATTGCTCAATTTCCATTTCAACTTTTCAACTCGTCTGACTCCTGGAGCTGATGTAAGAGTTAAATCAAGCATTAAAGTCACACAGAGGCCACAACAATATCCTTTTACACAATCCATTAAAGTTTTCTCATATATGCACACTCCAAAAACAACTTTTCTAACAAGGTAATAATAATCTCTGCATTAGTTTTCTAAGACTTTGTTACTTTTTTAGTTTTTAGACAACTTTATTGGTGTTGGTGCGCGTCCCAGAGGGTCCCAGACGCTGTAGTCCCAGAGGACGGAGAACAAGTAGGAGACCAGATTCAAGTAGACAAAGGAAGGCAGGACAATCCCAATGGCAAAGCTGGAGAAAGGCTCAGGATTCAGAACTAGGAGATCAGAGGTCTAAAGAGGTTGTGAAGGGAAATCCAGGTCGGTGACAGGAAACAGCTCCAAGTTCAGCAAGCAGACAGAATCCAGCAGGAGTCCAAAGACAGATCAGGCAAACAGATGAGAACAGGGAGGCTCAGTGGTTGAGAGGCAGAACAGAAAATCAGAAACACTAAGGTAAAGCTGGAACACTCTCACCAATGGCTCGAGAATAATCTGGCCTGATGACCAGTTAGAGGACTGGTTAAATAGAAGCTGGAGTAGGTGGATCAGATGAACGGCAATGAGAAACTGGACGCAGCTTGGCTGGTAAATGGAATGAACAATCAAGCCAGTCATCATCGGCAAGATCACTTATATGTCTCCATTATATTTTATTTACAATACACCAATATTACAACATAAAAACTGAGTTTATTTGTCTTGTAAACATTTCTCGACACCCCTATACATATGTAAAAGGTTTCGGACCGACTGCTCTACTACAGATAAAGTGGGCATGTTTGTGGTTAATATAAATTGAAGAATATAATCATCAGATTCAAGATGACCAGACATGGTGACTGTTGGCGAAATAAATTGAACTTCTGGTTCGATGAATAAACTGAAAAAAAAAATCCTTACTATATTTAAGGCCACTTACTATTTTATAACAGCCGACTTTTTTTTTTTTCATCGTCATTGGATTACTGACAGTCTTTGCTGTCTCGCCTGCAGCTAGTGTAAAACTACTCATCTTTTAATTGGAACTCCAAAATATGATTATATCACTTCTATCCTGGCCTCATTCCACTATCTTCATGTGCATTTTAGAGCTGATTTTAAAATTCTTATCTTTGTTATTAAATGCTTAAATCACCCCAGGTTGTCCCCCCCTTCTTTCTTTCTTGGTCCCCCATGTCAGAGGAACAGCAGCTGCTGCAGGTACTGAGGTTTAAGAGGAAGCTCAGATGGGCCAGAGTCTTCTATTGCTGCTCCTCTTTTAAAGAAATAGCCTCTCCCTGCACATTATGGAGGCAGCTTCACTGCCATATTTTAAAACACAGCTCAAAACGTACTTTTATTGGTTGGCATACCGGTAGGACTTTGTTTAGTTACCTTGTTTATTTAGCTTAAACAAATTCTTGCCTTTATTTTCACCAATTAGCCATTTTAAAATGTTCTACAAATAAAATAGATAATGATGATGATACCTTTATTGCTTGTTTTATAGTGTAAATTAAAAATAAAAAAACGATTAAGCGATATCACTCAAACAGAAAAAAATACAACCATTAACAACATGTATGAAAACCACTGACATGAAAACCAAGTCATAGACTTTTAAAAGAATTAGAAGGATTCTTTCCATTCATATCAATGTTGGATCTAGACATGTAGAGTATTTACAGTTTTTAAAAACAGTTTTAAAGATCTGAGATCTGGAACTGAATCTGCTTACCCTAAAGAAACTAGGACAAGGCTCTTCCATTTTTTCCAGAGGTCGATTTTGTTATTTACTAATGTATTTTTTTTTAAACTAAACATTTTTCCTTCCTGAAAAGAAGACAGCTGATATTCACATTTCATGCTTCATTGGCGAGCTGCTTTACTTGCCAGATTTTTGTCAGTCACAACCGGCACCAAAAGTGCTGTTGCTGCTCCCATGATGCCTTTGGCTGTTCCTTGGCTCTCTTTAACAGCTGAGAGTCAATAGCAGGGTGAGGGCATGGAAGCAGACAATAGGCCTCTGACAGGCTTCTTTTCTGATGGACTTATGTGCCTTGTTGGTTGTCATAGGTTTCTCAAAAAAAGAAAACAAAAGAAGAGAAACAGTGGTGCAGCTGAGCATGCTAATAGAGTAATTGCAACACGATTTTCAACCAGGTCCCAGATGCCAGCCAACTTGTTTTGGACTATCTTTGCCTCCCTACCCCCAACCCCAGCTCACGCCATACCTACTTCTTCACCCCTTTTTACTCCCCGACTTCACGCTCTGCCAACAGCTTTTACCCATTCATTACTGCCAAGCACATGTTGAGTTGTTTTAACCACTGGATTTCCTACCAGATCTAAAAAAGGACCGCTTCCAGTTATCATTTTATCCATAACCTCTCACCAAAATGCAGAGAGAAGAAGAAAAACAAAGTTCTTGTTTCACAAGTTTGCCTGTGCAGACAAAACATGTCTGTGAACACGGTGCAGCTTTCACACATTAAGCAATCTGTCCTCGGTCCGGGGGCATTTGATAGTTTCATTTCAGCATGGATCCCAGAGGGGCCGGCAGCAGCTGCTTCCATTCACCTCGTCTGTGTTAGAGAGAGGAAAGCAGACAGGCCAGTTATTGCAGCCTTATAAAGCATGCTGCATAAAAACAACCAGGGCTTATACTGTATGACTTATGTCTGGAGAGTATATCTATTGACCTTCATATTTCACTAGAAACTGCTATCAACACACAGTTCACAAACCTTACAGTTGATTTACTGAATTTATCCTGTTTGGGTTGGCATTTGCATGATATGCATGGTCTGTTCCATCATGTCACAAAGCCTAGAAGATTTAAGGGTTAACATAGCAACCAGGTGCCACTAATAATAGTCTATTGACCAACCGATCATCAGCAAGGAAAAAACTATGTATCATGGAGATGTTTGTTAACCTTATGCCCCTGGGTGTCATGATAGGTTTCAGATATTTTACCCACATGCAGATACAACTCAGAGGCGGATGAAAAGTTTAACAGTTTATTGAATTGTGACACTCGGAGAGACAAAAACCAAAGATTTTTAGCTTGGGGAATATCCAGCGGTCAGGTGAACCGGAACCGGAAACACTAAAGGGGGATTAGAGTGATGAGTTCTAGGTCCATGGGAATTTTTAGGCCAATACTAAAATAAAGCCAGGGAAGGACTCACTGTAGATGACTTGTGGTTGCTCCTTGGTTCCTGTTTGTGGGGACTGTACAGATAAGGAGATACTTGGCTGGAGGGCAGACAGAGTGGACAGAGCTCCTCTGTAGTGGTCCAGAGGAGCACCAGAGCAGACTGTCAACGAGCTTTCCTGAATCGGACTGCAAACTGAAGCGGTCAATGATTTCCTTATTCTCAGAGAGACAAATAATTCCTTCGAAGGCTTGAAGGACCAGGCTTATCCAGTAGATCAGGAAATAATTCTACCAGAGACCACAAAGGAGAACAAAGGGTTAGAACCTTGGACTCAGAGAGACAAAAACTCAAAAGGCTAGACTCAGCTAATCTCAGAGAGGCTAGAGTACCCAATAATGGCAAACACTCTGGCGTTGAGGTGGTGACAGTCTGCTGCTCATATACTCCTCAGGTAATGACCAAACGAGCCGCAGGTGTGAGCAATAAACCAGAAGAGGCCCTCCAGGCCAAGAGGGGAAAAGGGCACCATCTAGTGGATGGGTGGAGACAGTAAAAGAAAAACACAAAAACATCTCCCACAAACAGAAACCCTACCACTGGGAAAGACATCAACAATCAATTTTATAAGAGACTCTTGCTACTTGTTAACTTTGGAAAGGTAATAATGCTTATTCCAAGTAAGACATGATATTACTCAACAATAAAAATATCAACCAAGTTACAAATATTATTTGCTAGCAATTAGTGTGAAGAGATTGTCTCTGATTTGCTCTTATTTTAGTCTGTTGTGGGATCATATGCGAGAACACTTTCATCCAAAAGAAGAAAAGGTTAGACCGTATTACAAATGCAATTCAGTTTACTCATATCGCTCCAATTCACAACACATGTCATCTCAAGGCACTTTAAGCCATGTATGCACTGTGCGATATTTTTAATCATTGCACGGCGCAACAGCTCAAACTGTATGATGAAACCACTGGGTTTAAAAGCTCATAGCTCACGATGCATGTTCTCACACTGTGTGCCCCACTGCTCTGATGCGACCTTATGACAGCTGAATGAATTTCAAGCATGTTTGATTTTCTCCCGACCTTATGATTCCTGATCAGGAGGTGGTCGTGACAGACTGATCGCCCCTCGTTGCCCCCTGTATACTACACGACGCAGGAAGCACGATCAGGCTGAAACTCGGCCAGATCGAGAAATTCTTGCATGACTGGAAAATCGGCCTGAAAAGGGCAAAAAATCATGCAGTGTATGCCTGGCGTCAGAGGCATTTTAACCAGATCATACAGTCAGATTGGTTGAAAGGTTTCTATCCAAGCAAAACCAGCTGGTTCTATCGACTCAATAACTAAAAGATAATGAGTTGATGCACCAAACATGCTTGTAGCGACAGTGGAGAGGAAAAACTCCCTTATTAAAAAGAAATAATAAGTTACATCAAAATATACTAAAAGAGCAAACTCTTCCAAATCTCCTAGAGCTGAGAAATAAACATAGTGATGACATGTAATTTTCAGCTTCATTTTACAAGGGCAAGACATGAGATCAAGCTTGCTTAGGCACAGAATGAGGCCAGAAACTTACATACATCACATTCCTTTCAGCGGAAACATGCAGTCCCTTCTACCAGCTCTGGAAGAAAGAAGAACTGAAGTCACATCAAGTCCTCTCAGACATTTAATATCAATTTATATTAAATATTAATCATAGATATCCTCATAAGCATCCAATACTGCAGTGTAATTCTTGTTTTCACAAGTGAAATGTAAGTATTCATGATTTGCAGTTTAAATCCTTAATCAAAGCATGCATAATATTAAATGTTTTCTCAGTATCTCATTGTTGTCCTAGGTGATCAACAGATTGTGGTTCCACAGATTAACACATGAATTTAACAATTTGAGAGGAATTCACCTTGATTACAGTAAACATTTTTATTAACACTGTGACACCTGTGCGTAATAGTGCATTATAAATACTGCAGTACAAGAGGATATTGAAAATGGGAGAATTAGGAAGAACATGTTTTCATGATAATTACTGATTTATCAGGTGATCAGACTTCCTAGAGCATTGCTCTTGGATCCATGCGCTGAACGGGGTTCAACATATAACAGGCTGACAGGTTGGCCAACCCTCCTTATATGGGTTTAGGGTTCTTTTGCTCTCTTTGCTGCCATTGCCATCCATCAACTGGCTCATTTAAATACTTAAATATATAAATTTTGTGCTTTGCATGGACAATTCATGGTTGAACGTGGTTCTGAAGAGGCTCAAACATGAGGTGGAAACTTGTGCACACAAATTTGATTTATCAAGGGCATTTGCTTGTTTTTGTACACATGCATGGTTTGATAAATCTAAAAGATTGTTTGCATACACCATTTTCAGCCTCTGGATGATCGAATTCAATCAGAAAACTCCTTAGATCTCAACCCCAATGAGAAGCTGTGATCAGTACTGATTAGAGGAAAAGAAGCATCTTTTGCACACTGCATGAATAATAATACAGGGAGAATGTTTATGTATTATTTAAGAGTCTAGTATAGACTATATATATTATGAAGTCAATATAACCCCCCAATGATGTCACATCACTCAGTTTTGTAAAGATATTTTGCATAAATAAAATGCTTATTTTTATTTTCCAGAAAACACTGTAATGTTTAATTTTCACAGCACAAGAAAGTTGGTATTCCTCCCCTAGACAGTCCTCTCTATGGAGCCATCATCCTTTACTGTAGTGCTGACGCAGTGCATGAGTGATTGTACTTTAAAAACATGACAATGGAGCCAAAAAGCAGACAGACATTTGTTTTACTATTGCTGGACACTGAACCGTTGTAAAAACGGGAAAAGATTGTTCTTTAAAAACATGACAACGGAGCTAAAAGCAGACAGACATTTGTTTAACCGTTGCTCGACACCAATCCCTTGTAAGTTAGGAGCTGAATTTTAACTCTACGCCACTCATACAGGCCTGTACATGCAGGCACACTGTGAATGTCGGTGCAGGTGTTTAGGCTAGCTCTAGATACTGCGGTAGTTGGTAGAATCTATCCCCTGGGTCACTAGGACTCCAGCCCATCATTTCTGAAACAGAATTTCAGAAGTACAATATGTTAAGAATATGTATTAAGCCCCAGAATTATATTAGATTACACAATCTTATCTAAACACAATTAGATTTTTTTTGCAACTGAATTCCTTAAAGCATTGCCTGTTCCACCCAACCTGATAATGAGAAACAAGAAGAAGCAATGGTTATTTCCACAATGACAGCTAGCAACTCATAGCTATGCTTACAGGCATAGGATGACTGCATGTTGCACATTAGGGGAATTAAAAGACTGTTATGTTTAAGGCTGGAGATGAGTCTTGTTTACTACCTGGGAGGTCACTCTGAGCATGGCTCAAACAAGGCTTCAATAGGAAAGACAGCTCAATTTAGAGCATTTAAGGAGGTTAATTGACAATAGGGGCCTGGTGTGTGTGTTTGCACAGGAACAGGTGGAAGAAGACCTGCTGAGGTTAACAGTAAAATCTGAAAGATGACTCAGAATGTGCTAATTCTAAGCTGCTCACTAATCTGCTGCTGAGCTAATCACCTATATTCATCCAGCAATACATGATGTGGAGAGTTATGCTGCTAAGCATCAACAGGCTCATAATGAGGCACAGACCTTTAGCTGATCTGCTGTTAAAGTTAAATAGCCTGGATGAAATGGAAAAAAGCTAGAATCCTTTATGTAAAATTCTACCTGGATTTGCAACTTCATGTGACAATATCAAGTCCTTTACATCTGTCAAATCAAAGCAATTCATTCATACATATAACATATATAAAAATACATTAAAAAGTCTTTCAGATTACCAAATTATACCTAATTGCTACAGTCAGTCTATTCGACATATACACAGCGGAAAGTCTTGCCCACCAACCTTGAAAATAACTACTGGAACCACTAATGTTATGCAAAGCTCTGTGTTTACACTTTCTCTCTCCGGTTCTTTTGCTGCAAAGAGATCACTCCAGAGAAACTCTTTAAATAACACTTTATAATGTATATGTTAATTACTACCGGACCTCACATCTCATGAAGTGGCCTCGAATCACAGTTAAAGAAGCCTTTTATTCATCTCCAGTCTCCCACATCATCACATCATGACATCATACATGTTTGCAGATGAGGAGACATTCATGACTCCAGGCTTATCAAAATATTGCACTTTGTTGTTAGATCAAGGACATCGCTCTCATTCCATTCCTGAATCTTTGCCACTTAGGGAAGATGATAACGGTATAGCCAGACAGAACTGTCCTAATTAGATAAACTACTCGGGAAAACATTAATTCTGACACACAACAGGCAGGTAATATTAGGCTATAACAGAGTCACGCATCATCAATAATAATTATCCTAACAATTCCTCCTGAAAAGGCGACGTGTTTACAGTCACCTTGAAACAAACACTTGTATGTCTGAAAACCTGTCAATGTCTGGTCAGAACAAGGATATTAAAATAGAAGAAAAACCTTAAGGACTGTTTCTCTCAACATCAAAGAATCATGGAATTAACAATCAACAGTTCCCCTGATGATGTAGCATAAAGCAATCACAACTAAAGCTTCCCAGATAAAGTACTGTCACTCAAGGCCACAGCTTCAGCATTTAACTACAATTTGGGTTTTATCTAACTAAATTAAAGCTGTTTTAGTTTCTGAGCACATATTATTTTAATTTACATTAGACTAGGCAAGCCTAAGCCTATAATTGTAATAAGGTCAAATTCATCTATTCTCACTACCACTTGGAGGCCTCATAAGTGTGACTGCTCATCATGGATAAACCATCCAAATGCACAAAAGTAAGTCTCCTCCTTCTCTTTCATATTTTCTCTGCTGATCTGAAACATAAAGCTCTGTGTCATTCAAAGGTGTAGTATTAATTGACAGTAATTTGACTTTTACTGTCAATAAGTCTACTTGGAAGAATCACAACTTGTTGATGACCAAACTGAATGCAAGTTTCTCTGTTAGAAGACTTTCAAGAGGCTGAACCTTCTTTCTGAACTTTCTATCCATTTCCCGTTCCACATGTCATTTCAATATTAGTTTGATCCCCAAAAGAGCTCACTGACCAAACTTTATGTCCTGTACACACTGAACAGCGTGAGGCAGACAGATTTTGCTTATTTGTCTCACAGTTATACAATTTTTGCAGAGTTTGGTCAATTACTAAAAACTTGATTAATTCACTTAAACGTATTGAGGAGGATTTTTTAAAAGACCCGCCCTCTCAATTTAAAAAAAAAAAATGCTCGTGAAAGAACATGCATGAGCCTATTTCTCCTCGTGCACACCCTGTTTAAATTGTGCTGTTCTCATAGCTCATGCAAGCTCAGCAAGTCCCATAATTCTTGGATAAATCAGCCTCTGTGGCCTTTCTTTTCTCCTCATGCACTTCGAGGACACTTTTTCTCTTAAGAACCTAGTGAGAAAGGTGAGCTTCAATGACTGTCTGAAACCGTAGCTCTCCACCCATATGAAAGAAGTGCGCATGCACAGAAAAAGATAGCTAACTGGACGAGCACGTATGTAAACATCATCAGATAGATTGACGATAAGAAGGACCACTTATTTAGATGATCCACCAGGAAATAAAAGATCATCCTCTATACCTTTAAAGTAAAAGGTATGGACAAACTCTTAAGCCACCAAGGTTTAAACATTTGCATTAGATAATAACAGCATGTAGTCAAACAAAGGATGATCCCCTATTTGATAGACAACTAATAGGCCATCTGTCCACCGCTGCCTTCACAACCAATCTTAACTTTAGAGCTTTTGCCTGAACAAACACATCACACAGTTTCAGGAAATTCTGGCTTTTCAGCTTGGTTTGAGGTTTAGGACACCTGCCAGTGTTGGTTGTAAGGGTGGATTACCAAGGAAGGATAAAAGCCCGAGGGCCTCACTCAGACATGTTGACATCCTTTTACATTTAAATGGAAAGTCTGGCATGTCTGTATCTATGCGAACAACTTTCCTGTGCTGATGACTGAAGTTCAGGGAAGCCACTTTTGCAACTGGGATCCCAAACTGCTGACACAGTCTACACTCTGAGCCACCTAATTCCCGGATACCGGATCATCCTGTTCCCTAAATCTCCCCAAATCCCATGAACAGTGGTCCATGAGAGGCTCTGTTTACCCTGGTCCCACCAGCAACGGGGTCCTCTGGCCCTCTCCCTCTCTGCGTTTTCTTCCACACAGAACAGTCACGCACTCATCAGTTAATGCTGAACATCTGGAGGGATTAGCAGTGTCAGGCCAATCAGAGTCGAGCTGACAGATCCCAATGAAATACCATTCTGCAGCTGCGCTCGGCATTCAAGTGGGTTCCCATATCTTGTCCGCTCTTTCCTCCCCTGTCCTCTTGACTTTTTTTACCCTTCTTTTCTTGTTGCCGTTAAATTTTCAGAAAAAAAGCGGGGAAAAAACATAAAGAAAAAAGATATGATTTGGCTATTGTTTTTATAAGTTCTTTTGTTTTTAATGTCACATTTTCTTCCAATTATTTATACCGATTCAAGATGGAATAAGTTCAAATATACCCAATCTGTTAGAAAGAAAGCACAAGCACACACTTAGAAGAGAGCAAGGTTGAGGGAAGGGGTCTGGAGACACCACCTGCTCAAAATGTTTTCAGCTATAAATTATCTCTAGTGGTTGCACCACGCGAGCTGAAAAGAAGAAAGATAAACATGGTGTCAAAAGTGCAAGAAGCTTTCTGCTCACATGCTGATGCAAGTCATTTTTCATAAGAGCTGCTGATATGGTGTTATTGTGTGTTTTTTTACGTTTGTCAAATTCGCAGCTGCTTCAAATCTACAATCTATAATGAAAATCTAAATGTTCATCAAAATTCAAGGGTAATTTTTAGGAGGATTTTATTTTGGTTTTTGCCAATAAAAAGATAAATTCAAAAGTTTAAAACTTCCTTATTGTAGAATTAAATAAAAAGAAAAAAAAACATGCAATCTGTTTTCTCTTTCCCTGTGTTTATTCCATGACAGGGATTAAATGCATATGAGCAGACATTTCTATTATGTCTCCCTTTTAAGGTTGACTGTTTAATATTATATAACCCTTAATTCAAGCTACCATTTCAAGTTGTTCATATCATTTTTTTGTTTGGAATCATATGTGAAAGAAAATCAATTACATCAATTATTCACAAGTCAGTCATGGCTTTATTGTCAGGGAATATGTTTGTAATAATTATATTTCTTCCCAGAAGTATGTATTTGTGAATTTAACATTAAACAGTGGGACTGAAAATAAAGACTGAAAATAAATATTTTTCTACACTGATACAGACGTATGGATAGATGGATAAAGATATAGACATGTGTAATGACAAATTGACATAATATTGATGCAACAGTAAGAAAATAACACAAGACATTAACTGTAGATAAAAAAATAACCCTGCAAAAACAATCATGTTTCAAAATTTGACACTTCTTTGGAACACTGTAAAGCCAATAAAAACATCCTGCAAAACAAGACTCTATATCGCCCTCCACTGGTGGTGAAATACAGCAATGGTCTTGGCTCTTTTAGGGGCATTCAAGAAGGGTTTGCTGAGCCTCAAGTAGACACGCAGGACTCTATCTGATCTCAAACAGCTGCTCTCCAGAAAGACCCCACAGCTGTGACTGACCAATTTAAACCTCAGCTAGAGCTCAGGCAGGCACATTTGAAAAACATTGCTCTGACCCTCAGAGGGTCCTGACCCTGCAGTGCAGGCATTTTGCCCTATTTTGTTGGGGGGAAACACCTGTCCTCTCATGGGGTGTTTTTGGAATGCATAATTTTTAGCCAATAGGCAGGCTCCTGTGATTCTTAATAGACTACGACTGGCTACTGGTAATAAGTGAAGAATGAAGCTGTGAAGTGTTGCATGTAGATGATTTTATAAAGAAGTGGCTCCCAGCTTTTTTTTCTGTTCTCTCTTGCTACTTATAATTGTCCAATTGAAACTGATCTACCAACCAATTTCGGTGGTAAGTCTTCCCCCCATGTTGGAGGTAATGTTCATATCTCCCCTTAATATGCAAACTATCAGAGTGACCCTGATCCACGTGCAGCCGCAGTAAGATGGCTAAACACCGGCACAGTAAAGCTGCATCTTATTGGATAGAAAAAAAACCAAAAAACACTCAGACCATCTGCAGCTTTGAATTGATAGAATAACTGTTTAGGGCCCTGTCACACCTTGCCGATTTAGCCAGCATATGCCCAACGTCCCAGGATCTCCTAAAACGCTGGCCAACGCTTAACTTTCTATGTATTTTTTTTTATTTTGGTCGTAAACATAGCATATTCATAAGGAGTCCAGAAATTATGTCGAAAGACAACCCCAACCTTTATGATGCACAGCAGCGTAATGCCCGTGAAATGATGCACAAGCATTTGTCCTCTTTGGATTGCGAATTCCATGGTGCTTCGGCGACAGTGTGGTTTGGTACAGGAGTTTGCCCTGTTTGGTTGTTGTTGCTCCAGGTTTCAGTGTTGTCGTGTCTCTTGGGCAAGACACTTCACCTGCAGGGAAGTCAGAGGGCCTGATGGTGTCAGTGTACAGCCACGCTTCGACCGGTGAGCACCTTGGCAGCTGTGGCTACAATGTAGTATGCCAACAGTGTGTGCATGTGCTCGTGAATGGGTGAATGACTGAATGTACTGTAAAGGGCTTTGATCAAGTCTCCTGACTTAAAAAAGCTCTATATAAGTACTGGCCATTTACCATTAACACGGGACCGTTGCGGTGTCCAGCCAAAACATCCTCTTTGCGGAGCCATACCGTTATGTCGCAAATCCTTAATACCTTCACCGTGACTGAGTTGAATGCCCTCAAATGTGCTACCTAAGACTGTCTCCCCTAAAGACATTCATAGACTTAGACTCAACTTTATCTATTCAAGGGACGGAAATGCTGTGAAAAGTGCTGGGTGATGCCTTCTAGGGTTATCCAGTGATTGTGTTTCTAACGCATGATTTAGATCCTGGATACATGGAGCTGAAATGAGACTCTTACAGTGGATGTCTGTCTTTGCCTTAGAAATGTGTTAGGACATGTACAAAAAAGAAAACAGTAATCTGAGGATGGTTCTCTGTGTTGATCTCCCCTGGAGGAGCCCCAGAGGATGACCCTGAATGGAGTGTCTATATTTCCACTATGTCCTATGAACGCAATCGGATCATAAAGAACTAAAGAGTGTTTATTGAGGATGGGAGGCCTAGGTTTCTTTCTTTGACGTGCTGATCATCTTCCTGATCTTCAGTAGAAGACAATAGATGGAAGGATGAATGGAGAGGGATGATAGCTGCATTGCAGCTGAAAAAGCATGTGTGTAATTATCAGTTTGTGTACTAATCTTAAGGTTATTACACAAACAAAGAAAAATATTTTATGTTTATATGCTTGTCAAACGGGGATATATATATATCTTATACAAACTCGTAACACTTTTCTCACAATGATTCTAATTCTGTCTGTAGTGATATTATGAAATTGGGCCCTTAAGTAACTCAAAGTAGGTTTTATGAGTGAGGTTATATTTACAAACACAAGGAGCTTATTTTACGAAGCATTAAGCCTCCGAAATTTAAAGCAACGTCTCTTTGGCCTTAAAGACAAATTGTGATGGAAATAAATGAACCATAAAGGCTTTCAGATCTCGGTGCACATGTGGCAAAGCTTGAAATAGAATCATAAAGGGAAACTTGAAAGCAAAAATAAGAAAAAGGAATGTGTGTTTCTGTGTGTAATGTGTGTGCCATATGTGATTAGAAAGGAGGCAGACAAATGGTAAGAATAAACCGCATGGGTAGTTTTAAATTAATTACATAACCTTCTACGATTTGATGTTATTGTCTTTTTTACTGTAATTTATATTTTGTTACATATTGTAATGTTTTACAACCTGTGACTTCATAAAACTTCTCTGGAGATAATAATTAAGCTTCTACCAAGAAAATAAAAATTTCCTTCAGTAAAAAAATTTAACTTTGTGACAGGGATATGGAGCATAGCTTTTTAATAATTTTGTCTCAGCCATTAGACGGCCATGACGCTGCAGTAACAATGCAGGTGTTCTCTTTATGTAAAGCAACAGACAGCAGAGAGTGAAACCGAACCTTTGAGGTTTTGATTTTTAAATCATGCCTCACCAAGAAACAACTCATCTGCAGGTGAAATCTTAAATACTTTTCTTAATGTCTTTTTGTCTTAAGAGCTGTACTCATCGAAATGTCCGTTTGTATACACTCTGTGTGTACCACATGACAATAAGGTTTGTCTAAGTCTAAAATAAATGCTGAAAAAGTTTTCCTAAATCTACTGAAACTCAGTAAGTTCTCTTTACTCTGCTTAATAACGTCACACTGAATAACTCTCAATACATGACCTCAGTCAAGTTTACACACACATGTCAAGCGTTGTTAAAACAAATCGGTAATCAGGGCAGAATAACTCATTTCAAGTTTAACTTGTCAACATCCTGCTTATCTTTAGAATCCCATTTTAGGTGATTCATGCTCAAAATCGAACACAGATGTTCTTAAAATACGTAATAAGCATTTATGAATCACAAAGTGTGCTTTAAGGAATAATCTAAATGAGATTTGACCAATGTACAGTGCTGTGAAAAAGCTTAAGAAGTTTAGATTAAACTAATATTAACATAAGATAAAATAACTTTAATACATTCAAAGAGACATTTTATGATAACATTTATCAGGGACTAAAGCTATCCAAGCTAACTTAGGCTTGTCTACATAGTAACTTTGTTGTTAACCACATAGGTTGCCAATATTGGCAGCAACAAGAGTCAGAATAATTGAGATAACTGAAATACATATTTTTATACTTCTTTTAAAGGATTTTACTGTTTACTTTTTGTCTTTATAACCAGATTGAGCCTAAGGTTACAAACTCATGGCCAGATATTCTACTTCACTTTATTTTCAGCTAGAGAGCAATTAATTGATCTATTAGTTACAAAAGGTTGTTGAGGCACTTAATTGCCAAAAAAAACCAAAAACAGGTTGAATGTGACCTAATGTACAAATAATCTACCAAAAGCTGCTAACGTTGTGTTACTCAGACAAAGAATACAAACCAATTGTTTCTAAGTAGTTTGGGGAGCCTTTGTTTTCCTTAAAGGCACACCGGATAACTTTGGGCCCTAGAGGGCTGTGACTTGCAAATGCCTTGCACCCCTAGTGGCCACAAGGTCTGCAGAACTGTCACAAAAGTCAACAAGCTGTCAGTAGGACAGCCTAAAGAAAATTAAAAACAATCCACTGGACTCTGTTTCCAAGTTTGAAGATGTTTTGCTTCACTGGATGGGAAGTGAAATGTCTTCAAACTGCACTGTCACAAAAGTCAACAAGCAGTAAATTGACCAGCCTCTGATGTCTTTTGATTAGGGAGCGCACTCCGCATCTAGGTTGAGCTCGTTGGCTTTGAGAAATGCTGCTGCTCTCTGGAGAGCACTGCCGGGGCAGGCCGGACCATGCAGCACGGTTTACCAGTGGAGGAGCTCCAGTGAAGCCGCTGGGTTGGATGGGGCATCTCAGTTAGCATTTGT